CTATCTTATCTAGATAGATCTGTAGAGATAATAAATAATATGCACCAAAAATCAAGCCATAGCAAGATAGGCGACGAATGAGAACACAGCGATGACAAAAAAGAAAACCAATGACCCGTAAAAGAATAAATCAATTCAAAGAAAAACATTTTTAAAAGAAAGGAAAACCTGTCAATAGATCAAGGTCTGATTTTTGATCTCTAGGCGTGTCCTTCAGTCAGGACCGATGGGGTGCCACGCTCTGGCCCCAGAGTCTGTCCTTTGTACTCCACTCCCTCAGGAGCTCCCTGCTCTGCTCCCATGGCTGCTTTGCTGCACGCCTTTAGTGGCTGTAGGAAGGGTTTTAAGGGTTATAGCATAACTCAAGTTATGTGGAGATACATAACAAATACTGAAAGCGTGTTGAGGCTGGTAATTTCCTACTTAGCTTGACATTACTCATTTAGCCAGAGCTCTGTAAGCTTTCTGATTAAATCTATATCGCATAAGCTAGCTTCTGTGTAGTCGACTTTCTGCTTTTCAAACGAGAACTCTCTGTAAAATACCTTCAGGTATCTGTTGCTTATAATTACAGATTTTATCTGTATCTTTATCATCCAAGGAGCCCTGGTGATGCTGTGAGTTAAGTGTTGGGCTGTTAATGGTAAGGTTAGCATTTCAAAAGCACCAGCCGCTCCCCGGGAGAAAGATGAGGCTGGCTGCTCCCTTCATGAGTCTCAGTTCTGAAAACCCGATATAAGGTTCCTGTGTGTCAGCATTGACTTGATGGCCGGGGCAATTTTCATCTGTTTGGGTTGTTTTTAAGTCCATGTGATCCTCACGAATAACAGCTTCTCTTTTTAAAATGGGCTTGACCTCACGTATTTTCGTATTGATGTCTATGATTTTCCTCAGAAAAGCAGAATGTGGAGTATATTGTAATTGACTTTTACTCTTCTAATAATTATTTTTGGTTGTTTTTCTGTATTTTAATAGAACTGTTTGCTTTCTCATTGGCTTATCTTTGCAGTCCTTATCGTAGAATTTACATCATTCACCAGCATTGTCATGCAGCTTAGAATATAGGCTCTGTGCTCCCTTTCATGCTACAGTCAAATTCTCTTTAGTCTTTAACTCAACAAATACATCGAATTAGACCATTTTCTGTTTTATCACCTGATATGTTTGGTGTTTTTTTTTAATTGACTAAATGCTCATTTTGGCCATAACTTAGGGATTTTAAAATGTAGATGCTTGATTTCTGCTTCCCTTAGTGACATTGAAAGGTGACAAATAAAAGTAAACTACATTAAATAAAAACATTTAAAGTAGTGTTTTCAAACCACCTGTGGTGAAGGGTCATTTTCCAATCTGTTGGAGGTTGGTACTGTCAAAACCACAATGAAGAGGCACAGTTGTAACAACAAATGCAAACAAGCAGAGCTACGTGCTCCCTTTTGTGTTTGTTTCTTAAGACTCAACAGATTGTAAACATCCCCCTGCCACGTTGCTCTCAAGGCCTCTGTCTCGCAGTTCCTGTACTCACCCTGCCGCGGACGGCCGCACGCAGTCCCGGCCGGTGTCAGTCCACAGGGCACTGAAGGAGCAGTGACCCTAGTTCCTGTTGAGAGCAGCTTGATAATAAGACACTTGTGCTTGTGTCTCCAGGAGAGGCTGGTTTGGTATAGTGTTGATTCTGATACTTGTCCATCAGCTGAAAAACACGCCTACAAACAACGTTGGCATTTCATTTTCTGCTGTAATTATTGATATTAGAGACAAATGAAGCCTTTGAACTTTAGAAATGCTTCTTTGTTAGTAGAACTTGTGTAACTGCACCTATACAACTCTACAACTGGATGTAAAGGGGTT